TTTGAGGTATGTATTTCATGTCATGTATCCGCTCGGAATGGTCGCCGGTCCATTCTGGGTTCTAGTGGCCCTAGTCTGCCCACTAGAGTGTGCACATGGTGTCTGGCATTTGTGCCGGCAGATGAGGTAACGGTCATGGTTCACGTTCACGTGATGATATCAGATTCATGTTCATGTTATTACCGGTTTCATGTTCAGGTTATGTATATGCCAAGATCATGATGTTGTTATTATTTTCAATGTTTACATTAGTATGAGCTTCCACGGAGCACAGTGTCATAGTGCTCACTTCCCACTTTGATCATGTTTTTCAGTTCAGGATGTCGGGCCGGGAGCATGAGATGACGGATGCCTCAGGACTTTTATGATATGATTGTATATATTATGATGATTTTACGTTTCCGCTGACTTTGACGTTGATGAACTTATATTTTGATCGGACTTTTGGAAAAAATTGTGCTTTCGGTAAACCGTATAATTTTGTTAAAAATTAAGATAATGGTTTTCCAAATTAAGTCACGTTTTTAAGGTAGCACCCCGAATCAGTTTTCGCAAAGTAAAAGAATTTATTTTTAAATAACTTTGCGAAATTTTCGCACTCTGATTTCACGATAAGGCGGGGTGTTACAATTGGTATCAGAGCACGATTCTGCGTCTCTGAAAAGTTTTTCAGTCAGTAATTTTCAGAAAAACCTGAACCGTCATGCTCACGCCCCGCCGACTACAGGTAAGTGTTGATTTATGTTTTCAGTTATAAACATATTACTTTGTCTATGCTCAGAAATTATGGATCAGGACTTAGTTAAGATGCTCGAATCATGTTCAGACTTCAGAGTTCAGATATGACTCTAGTATTCAGTATATTCATGACTCTAGAATTTAGTATCTCCGGATGTGACTCTAGAGTTCCTCAGGATTCATGTCAGTATTTATCGGCCATTTTTGGCAACTCGTCAAGAGATTTGGGTTCCTAAGTAATCAGTCAGAATGTTATCACGTATTCAACAATGTTAAACTTTCTCAATGATCAGATGCCGCCCCGTAGGGAACCCGATTACCCGGTTCTTACTCAGGCCACAGTAGTCGCACAGTTCCGCGACTAGCATGTTGAGAAATTCTCCGGGCAGGGAGATCCCCGTATCGTGGACGAGTGGATTCAGAACCTTAGAAATGGATTAAGTTTGAGGACTCTAGATTAAATTCTAGATTTATTCAAGTCAAGTTAGCAACTTGTCAGGAGATTTGTAAGCACTTATGCTAAACAAATCTTAGTAATCATGTTTCTCAGATATTTCTAACGAAAACTGCCATTTTGCCAATCAAAGTGGCAGACTTCAGGGAGAAATTCCTTGATTTAATTCGAGGAATAAACTCAAATTTCCTAAGTCAGATCAGTAAATCATGTTCAAGGCAAAAATTTTCATGTTAAAGGTTGTTAAAATTCTCAAGTCATTGTTAAGGTAACGGTTTCCAGTGTATAAGAGTCAATAGTCCAGGTTACCATCGAGGCTTGAAATAATAGCCATTCAGCCGGGTATACCATGGAGGCTTGAAGCTGAAACCGGAGCAGTATGATTTCATGTAATAACAACCTTTCAAGTCAGTCATGTCAGATATTTTATCAGTCATGATATTTCATGTTATAATTTTCAAGATCAAGATCAGCTAATTACTTTGTACTTGCGAGACCAGTTGGTACTGGAGCAGCCCTATACAGTACAGAGTTATAAATTCATGTTTACGATTTACAGTTTATGTTCATGATGTAAGGTCGACGTATAATAGTTGTTCAGCCGGGCTAAATGTGGCGGTCTGATATACAGACCATTAGTCCAAATTTACCTGGAAACTTGAAGTCGCACCTTACCAAGTCAAGTAAGTCAGTAAATATCACGTTTTCAATTCCGAAGCGACTATTTAGTTGTCTCGGGATAGCTTTCAGCGTTCAGGCAAAGATGATTCAGTCATGTAAGAGTCAGGTCATGGTCATTCAATCATGAGAATATTCAGGCCAATCAGGTCAAGATCGAGAATAGTCTGTCTACTAAGGCAAGACCTATCTATCATTTTCAGTATGTCAGCGCCTCGATTCTCAAATTCTGAAGAATCTGAGGAATCGTGGGAGAAATCGTGTTTTTATCGTTTCCTTACAATTTTTTTTTTTGTTAAATTTTTCCTAATGGATTACTTGTAAATATGCAGTACTTATGTTGGGTGAGATAGCTAATACTTTGCGCGTTAAGCATGATTTGTTCGATACCTATCTATACTGTGTCAAGTGTGGAAGTCTAGTTTGAATCTAATGGAATACATGTGGTAATATGTCATAGTCCATGAAAATTACATTTGATAAAAAAAGTGAAGAATGTTAGAAAAGGCCAAGGTGAAAAAGAAAAGCAAGAAGAATATGAAATTTAGTGTATGTGTCTAATAAAGTTTGGGTAGGCGTAATAACGAAGCGTGCTGTCATGAGTGGGAGCTTAGTTTCCGTCTGGGTATGCGACCTTGGATTGCTGTTGCA